AAATGTATTTTGATAAACACTGCCTTTATAATTATTCAAAGTGTGTGTACACATTTTGGGGGGGGGGTACCCTGTATTTTCTATTTACTGCTTTTCCCAGTTTGTTCTCCTACCAAACTGGGAAAGCCCTTGTGCCTGGCATTGGGTTAGGTCCGAAGGATGTAGAGAGAAGGATGTAGGGCTAAGGCTCTGCCCTCCTCAGACAAGTACACATACGCTGTGGCACCCAGCACTGACGAGCCCGTGGGAGGAGTCAGGGAGGAGACTGAGCTGAGGCAGGGGCGGAGGGAGGAGCACTGTGGGCGCAGGGGTGCAGGAGGTGAGTACACCGGCTGGGTCAGAGCCCTCGGTGTGTTAATGTGGGGAACCGGGGGAGATGCTTGCCCCAGTTTTCTTTAAGGTCTTTGGTGGGAGCTGCCTTCAGAGCCACCTCGCTTTCCCATTAGGCCTCTGCTTAGTCATCCTCTGAAGAAAAGATGTTATGATTAAACTATAGCTAGGTCACGTGTTGGGGAGGTAAACAAGAGCCAGACGTCTGTGGGCCCCGTACTTGCTGACGTGTTCGGATGTTTCCTAAAAGAGTTGGGAGAATGGGACGGACATGGTGACACCTGCGCTGAGAGCCCCTGAGGGAGCCAGTTGAAGATATCTCCCAAACAGACGCATGGCTGGGAAATTAACGGGGCGGTGACTACAAGGAGAGCGTGGATTCCAGGTCCAAGGGGCAGGGTGTTGAGACTGACTTGATGTGCGGGAAAGAGAGGCTGTTTAGAAGATGCCAAGGTTTGGGGCTGGTAGGGTGCTGTTCTCCTGAAGAAGGAACACAGTGGGTTCCAGGGGAAACGATGACTCCAATTTCTAGCACATTGAGTGCCAGGTGCTCTGCAGGACATCCAAGTAGAAATCACCAACAGGTCATCGGTGTGCCAGCCTGCACTTGAGACCTAATTTAATGGAGGGGAGAGGGGCGATGGTTGAGGCATGAATTGGGTGGGGTCCGCAGGGCCGGTGAGTAGAGTGAGGAAGGGGACCAGGATCCTTTAAGAACAGGGGATGGATAATCGATTCCAGGAAGATGTTCAGAAAAGATCGATGATGTGACAGGCACCAGGGAAGGAGAAATGTCAAGATAGGACAGCACTGGCCACTGCCACAGAGGGGTCAAGTTCAGAAAAGAATGGAAAGATTTGGCAGAGAAGTTTACTTAAAAAGAGATGTTTGTTTGATGTGGAAGCAAAGTTCTATAATTTTTCAGAAGTGATCGAACAAAGCATGGTGTTTTAAAAGCAACCATTTCATAACTGCAGCCCTGGAATTCTTGCAAAAAGCACAAGAAAAGTAAGACTAAGCCAGAGATGTGGTGATTGGACCATCTCAGTTTTGGTCTTTAAAAAAAAGTATGTGTTTTTCTTCTTCTTCTAAATATGCCCAAATAAGCCATCAAGCCATGACTAACTTATTAACTGTTCAGTGTGAGCTTTTGTCACATTTGGTTTGTGTCAGACACATTTGAAAACTTAGGAAAGTATTAGAAGATTATGAGAACAGGAAAATAAAAGCGAACCTCGATGTGAGAAGAACTCCAATGCCAGAACGTGTAAGCAAATCTGCGGACACGGCTATCTGCCTGCTCTTCTGCTCATTTGCTCTTAGGGAAAACACTGAGCGTGAGACGGCTCTGCGCCCTGCCAGCTCTGTCACCACAAGCAAATCACACCGCCGCCAGGTTTCCCATCTCTCCAATCAGAAGTGGGTGCCCCCCCCCCCCCCCCGCTCAGCTTCCCAAACTGTAGATTGTGACACGTCAGTGGGCTATGAAATGGGGAATATCAGAGTACCCCCCATGCAGTGAGCAAAGGCTCCTTTTGCCAAACTTACAGAGAAAGAAAGAGAGAGAGAGAGAGAGAGAAAGAGAGAGAGAGAGAGAGGAGAGAGAGGAGAGAGAGAGAGGAGAGAGACACGGGGGGCGAGGGGGCGGTATTTCTAGAACATGGTGTAAAATATTTTTTTTTATTGTGGATCGTGGTTTGAAAAATATTTGATAAACACTGCTCCCTCAACTAGAGCCCCTTCCTATTCTAAAATTCTCTCATTCCACTTAAATCTGAAAGCTGTTCTCTTGGTGTAGTAGACGGTTCACAACACGGGGGAGTGGCAGGGATAGACACTGTGAAGGCATGAACGCTCATAACAAAAGAGAAAAACATTCAGAGGTAAATAAGGCCAACATCTGGGTCGTATTTGACCATGAGACTGAACAAGCCTTTAAAATTTATTAGTATTCCGACTGGCAAGCCATTACTCTAATTTATGAAGAAAAGTTAAATATGCTATATATTAGCAAACAATGCAGTAGTTCTTTTGATGGCGGCATAAATAAGCAACCATATCAAGGAGGAATAATACTCCTTCAAAAGTAACAATACCATGGCACATAAATTCCGGAATTGGCAGTGAAACTCTTCTGCGCGCCACATAAAAAGATTCATGGGCCTGGTTATGCGACAACTCAGCGCACTTTTATTGGCCTGAACAAGAGGGAGTAAACACCTCCGTCAGGTGTTTTGCTTTAGAAACAGCTGTTTGAACTCCCCCCACTGGTAATTCTGCTCCGGGGTATGTTTGAGTATGTGCCTTTCCAGCATGCTTGCTGATACTGCGAATGGAAGCAAGTGAGCCATTCCCCATAAAAGCCGCGTGCAGCGCGAGTCTGCCTTTACTTATTTGTCAACTGTTCTTAGTTCTTCTCAACCAATGCAATTTCATAGGTGTTCGGTGGCGGTACACAGGGACAGTTGGAGAGGGCTAAGGCGTGTGAGTCCTCGCACAGGGGAGTTGAGGGAAGGGTTTGCGGTCCCTCCCACACAGATCTCCCACACTCAGTGGCCTTGGTGTGTCTTTCCTCTCTGCCCTCTAATAAACCCCAGGGCGTTTGTTAAACCCTGTGCCAACCTAAGCCCCGACCTTTGGCGATTCTGTGTTCTCTGCCTTCTTTCCAGTCAGTCAGCGGGCAGAGGAGGCCTAGCGCAGGAGAGGAATTGAGACCAGAGGTGCCAAGCCCTCCTCTGGGATTTCGGTTTAGACCCTGAGTGGAGCTGGCAAGGAGTGGGCGGGCTAGTGCTGTGGGTGGGCGGGGTTGGCAGGGTTGACTCCGCCTCCCTTGCCACAGTTGATTGGCCCCTGGCAGGCATTCAAGGAGTCTTTGCCCCTTTCGCCCCATCACAGGCCAGCTGTCCCCAGGTGTACAAGCAGATACGATTGTGCCAAATTAAGCGACGAGAATATTTTATTATAAGAAAAAAATAATTCCATTTATTCTCTGAGAACAATGTGTTTGCATCTAGCCATCTGACTTATTAGATGAGCAAACTGAGGCTCCAGGAGAGGGCAAGTGAGCTCAGGGCCAGGGGCTCCTCCCTGTCACTTCCTGTGACTTCCCAAAGCCCATGAGTGGCACTTGGGGTAAACACTCGGGATGATCGACTGTGGATTCATGGACAGTAGAGAGTAAGCCAGGCACGTCTTGAGCTTTGGAAGGAAACAATAGAGAAAACATACAAGGCTTAAGTCAGACAGTATTAGAAAACAAGAATCTTATTTTCTCTGGCTTTTGTGTCCCTGACTATAACATAAGACTCGAGGATGTGTGATAGACAGAGTGCACCAGCCAGATGTGTGCCCTATGTGAAGGCATGGTTTCTCTAGTTACAATTTCCCTGATCAATGATGGTGAGGTAGATTCCTTCTTTCTCCGAAAAGTTTGCTGTAATAATAAAACAGTATATCAGAAATTATTGTTCTTTGGGAAAATGTGACCGTGCCGGACCTGTGAAAGTTGGTATTATTAGAATGTCAATAAAACTTTCAAACACGCACATCACATCCTTGAATATTTTCTCGACAGAAATTATTTTTCCTTCTTCATGATTATGCAGGATATTCATCATGACCCATCTTGCTTCCTCGGCATGTTACATTAGGAATACAGCAACACCATAAAATCTGCAAATATCTCCATATTCCCCCAACTTTGCCTCAGTGCCAGTAAATGTCATAGGGTATGGGTTGTGTGAGGCATTGGGTAGAAGTCACTGGATCTCTGTGTATTGTACTGGATGTTTGATGACTGGATAGTGTCACATGAATGTCAAATATGTTCCCGGAGCTGGCATGGTGCCAGGTGGTCAGAGTGGCCATCACTTCCTACTTTTAAGTATCCTCAAAATTGGCAGGCAGTCTGAATCAATAAAAATATTATATATTTTCCTCTGCAGTAAAAGTTGTATTTACTGCCCTTCACAAGTGAATCTATATTGTATCTATTTTCTAGTATTTGTGGTAATGCTTTTAGACATGTTTAATGGATTGTGGTGTAACGTAAGCAATGTCTTCTTGATTCACTGACTTTCTTGCTCCTGACACATAAGTGTGAAGCTGAATTTCCTCTACTTTATAGTATGTCTAAGTAACCCTAGATTTTATATATTTTGTAATATTTTAAGCAGCAAGTTATTTCTTCCTTATGCAAAGTACCAACAACATTAGGGGAACTTTTTAAATAAAATAAATCATTGAAGTTTGCATATAGAAGAAATCA